GGCCTTAGCTTACGCTTGTTCCCAATTAGCTGGTATAACTTAAATTAACCCATTCATACTAATCTACGCTCTGCCACATTGTTAGCATACTCTTCAAAAAACTTTTATTTACATTTCTTATATCTCTTTCTCCTCATTCCACCCCAATCCTTTCCAACACACCAACACCAGGTAGGAGAGAGAGGGGTAGTGGGAGAGGGGGCGCAGTTTTCTTAGCTGCTTCCTGTTGGTTAAGGTGGGTTCCTTGGAGCCAGTCCAATTCTTGTCTCACAGCAGCAACCAGGAGCCTGGGCGGAGGAGGGGAGAAGCAGCAACAGCCTTGTTCTTAAAGCTCCTCCACACTCTCTGGCATTTATTCTTTCTTCAGACTCCTCAGATTTAAATTGTCCCACATTCCCACACCTGGAATGACAACAAAAACGTTTATATCCACAATCCCATGTGGCTGTTAACTCTTCCCAGTACTGGTATCTGTGTTTTCCTTTCCATCTGGCTGGCTCATCCATGCCTGGTTGTTTTCCAGAGTTCCAGGCACCTATGCTCTCCTGCTTTGCTATTACCGTTTAGCACTCTCCCTGCCACCTGCCCAAGACAAGGTTTTCTCTGTGTAGCCCTGGTTGTCCTGGATTTGCTTTGTAGACCAGGCTGGCCTTGAACTCACAGAGATCCACCTGCCTCTGCCTGCCCAAGTGCTGGGATTATAGGCTTGCCCCACTGGGCCATTCAGCTCTTTACTGAACCACCTAGGTGATGGAGAAGATGTTTATAAAACACCGAGACCCATGATACTTCATAAAAATAACAACGCCAAAGTCTGGCTTGTTCCCAGATCTCTGCCTGTACAAAAATCAGCATTGCACAGTGCACAAAAAGATCACCCCAAAAAGAGGTTTACTGGGGTCAGGCCTTGAGGTTTTACAGCCTGGCCCCATTTTCTGTTTGTCCTTTGTTTCTTGGCAGTGGATTCAGTGTCACTGGCTGGACCCCCACTCTTGCCACTGTGCATTTCCAACCATGGTGGAATGTATCCCCTCAAAACGTAAGCCAGAAGAAACCCTCTCTCCCTTAAGTCACTTCTTAGTAACTAATACCACAATCAAGATTTGGTTATGATGACTATATCAGAGCCAGGAATGGTGACACACACCTTCCATACCAGCACCTGGGAGGCAGAAGCAGGCAGATCTCTGCAAGTTCAAGGCCAGCCTGGTCTACATAGTGAATTCTGAGACAGCCAGAATTTTTTGAAACCTTGTCTCAAAAAACCAAACCAAATAAATAAATAAAAACAAAAACATTATCCATTGCATTTTCCTTAGTCATCTGTTGTGTGAATATGTCTGAAAGAGGTGTGGGAGCAGCCCTAGGTTAAATTCCATTTTTACATTTTGGAGAAGAAAAAGAGAAACAGGCCCTGAGTGACTGAGGCCTGGCTCCGTAATATAGCTCTCTTTCTGCACTTCCTTCCCTCTCTACAAAACCTTTGTGTCCTTGAGACACTGAAGATAGAGCTTTGAGGAAACTTCTCCACCATTTCTCAGTATTGCTGGCCCTTGCCTAAACTTGTCTCCTTCCACCAGCTTTCCTCTCCTCAATAATGACTGGCCTTGGTGTGACAGGCTGTCAGATTTCTAATTCCAGAATAGCAGACTTTGGTAACCAAGGTCTCTCTCTGCAGTCCTTGTGACTTCTTGTCTCTAATTTTTAGTGACCCCCAACCCCCAGTACTAGGCATTGAACCTAGAGCCTGAATACGATAGACAAATGCCTTATTATTTACTCACCCAGCTCCTCATCAGTAAACTCTAGGCAAGTACTCTATCGCTGAGTGCTAAGCCCCTCACAGGTAAATTTTGGTAAGGGCTCTACCACTGAGCCACACCTCAGCCCCTCCCTGGGGGATTCTAGGCAGGGGCTCTACCACTGAGCCACACCCCAGCCCCCTCACTGGGGGATTCTAGGCAGGGACTCTACCACTGAGCCACACCCCAGCCCCTCACTGGGGGATTCTAGGCAGGGGCTCTACCCCTGAGCCACACCTCAGCCCCTCCCTGGGGGATTCTAGGCAGGGACTCTCCTTTATTTTATTTTTTTTCCCCTACTTTTTGTTTTGAGACAAAGTCTCACTAAGTTACTCAGTCTGGCCATGAATGTGCTGTGATCCTGCTTCAATCTCCCAAATATCTGGGGTTCTAGGCCTGCGCCAAGAGGCCTGGCTTTTGAGACCAAGTATCACTAACTATGGTAGCCCACGCTGGCCTTGAGATCAGAACCACTTGGTTCTGCCTCCCAAGTGCTGAGGTTGTAGGTGTGGACCACCACGCCTCGTTCTCTTCTTGGCATCTCCAAATATTCTTCAGGTCTGCCTGCGCGCTTCATGCCCAGTCAGGTTCTGAATTGGAGCCTGTGATCTCCCTACAGGGATTAAGAAATCAATGTCCCGTGTCAGGATTATCTATAGCCCTCACCTGGGTCAGCCTTAGGCTCCGCAGAGCGTGTCCCAACTTCTGATGGCTTTGGGGAGACTCTTTTCAAGGTAGGCCTCTCCACCTCAGTGCTGTGTGTGGCTGGGAGCCAGACACACTGCACCTGCAGCTTGGGAGGAAAGCTTTCCTCAGCAGAATGTCAAGTTGTCAGGGTCAGTACTAAGCTAGGAAGCTTTATACCTGAGGCTGCATCCTCACCCAAAGCAATTGGCCTGTGATAGGGTGGGGAGTGTCGGTTTTCCTACATTTTACCACCTCCACATAAGGTTCTTTCTTTTTTAAAAAATTCTCTCATACATTACATCCAGACTGTGGTTTCTCCTTCCACCCCTCCTAGTCCCTCTCCCCAACTCCCCTTTTCCTCACGTCCACTCCTCTTCTGATTCCTTTCGACAACCAGAGCAGGTCTCCCAGTGATGTCAAACAAACACAGCATAGCAGGTTACAGTAAGACTAGGCACAAACCCTCATGTTGAGGCTGGATGAGGCAACCCAGTAGGATGAAAGTGGTCCCAAGCACAGGCAAAAGAGTCAGAGACACACCCCCACCCACAGCTCCCACTGTCGGGAATCCCACAAAAACACTGAGCTACACAACCATACTTACACGTGCTGAGGACCTAGCTCAAACCCATATTGTGCTTGTCTCTTCATTTTCTCACACACTGGTCTTCTTTTTTCTCTTTCTCTCTTTTTAAAAAATCTTTATCTTTTTTCTTATTGTTTTTCCAGTACTAGGAATTGAATATAGAGCATCACTCATGCTAGGCAGGGGCTTACACCTAAGCCACATCCCAGCCCCTCACTGGGGAATTCTAGGCAGGGGCTCCACCACTGAGCCACACCCCAGCCCCTCACTGGGGGATCCTAGGCAGGGGCTCTACCGCTGAGCCACACCCCAGCCCCTCACTGGGGGATTCTAGGCAGGGGCTCCACCACTGAGCCACACCCCAGCCCCTCACTGGGGGATTCTAGGCAGGGGCTCTACCACTGAGCCACACCCCAGCCCCTCACTGGGGGATTCTAGGCAGGGGCTCCACCACTGAGCCACACCCAGCCCCTCACTGGGGGACTCTAAGCAGGGGCTCCACCACTGAGCCACACCCAGCCCCTTACTGGGGACTCTAGGCAGGGGCTCCACCACTGAGCCACACCCAGCCTCTCACAGCCTCTTGGATTTTTTTTATGTAATATGTATGACTGTCTTGCCTGAATTTACGTCTGTGTGCTACATGTATGGGTTAGTGCCTGTGGAGGCCAGAAGAGGGTTCTGAGATCCTTTGGCACTGGAGTGAACAGTTGTGAGCCGCCATGTGGGTGCTGGGACTGGAACTGGGGTCCTTTGGAAGTGCAGCAAGTACTCTTAACTGCTGAGCCAACTCTCTGGCCCCCATTTTTCTCCATCTCTCTACTTTCTTCCATTTCTGACAGTGTTTTCTTCCGTCCCTCTGCATCCTCTGGTTTAAGTGGTGGCGGACTGCAGTCTTTGTGACCAGTGTGGGACCCGTGTTCAGATTCCAGCTCATTTCCCCGACAGTGTGATTCCGAGCAAACCACCTCACCTTTCTGAGTCTCAGTTTGGCATGTGACTGCGGAGTAATAATACTTCTTTGCCCATAGAGAGAATTAAAGAGAACCATTTCCTTAGGAAGCACCGCAGTAGCGACTGTAATTGTTTCTCGTTCTCAGCCTCTCAGGTTCTCCAGCTTCCATCCCAGAGGCCTCCTCCTTGATAGCTCTCCTGGTGACCTTTCCCCTTCTTTCGCAGTTTCTCTGCCTCTCTGTCCTTAGGCCCTGACATCCTTTCCTTTCCAGCTGGTCTCCAGAAAACGTTAGCCCCACCCCCTCCCCGGCACCTTTGTTTCCAGGACTGGAGACACGTTGACAAGAGCTCTATCGGTGAGAGTTATCTTCAACACTTTCAACAATTAACTATGAACCAGGTCTAATTAAAGTTGGCTTTGAACTCATGCTGCAGCCCAGACAAGTCTTAGACTTTGCATCTGTGACTCCAGAAGAGGCTTAGGGTGGGCGGGGCCTAGGGTGGGCGTTCTCCACACCCCCTCCCTGCATCCAGACCTCCTCCCCCTTCATCATAGAGCTGTGATTCTCAACCTTCCTCATGACCCCCAAACATAAAAATATTATTATTAGAAAGGTTTATTTATGACTTATGTGAGTGTTCTATCTGCATATACACCTGCAGGACAGAAGGTTTACAGATGGTTGTGAGTCACTACTGGCTGCTGGGAATTGAACTCAGGACCTCTGGAAGAGCAGCCAGTGCTTTTAACTGCTGAGCCGTCTTTTCAGCCCATAAAGTTGTTTTTGGTGCTACTTCATAGCTGTGATTTTGCTGTTATGAATGGTACTGTAAATATCTGATGTGCAGATTGTCTTAGAGGACCCTGCAAAGGGGTTGTTTGACCTCCAAAGGGGCTTCGACCCACAGGTTGAAAACCACTGCTGGAAAGAGTTTTTCTCTTCCATTAATTCAGTCAAGTCAGATACGTATCTATTATCAAGATATTTACTAGGAAATGATTCAAAAACCTGGAAAAAAGTGCATTACAGAATAGGTTGTATGGGTAGAAGACGGGCGTTTCCCCTTTGTCAGGTCATTCTTTCCATGAATACGGGCTTAAGATAGGAAGGGCGGAGGGCAGGTGTGTGGCAGGCGCGGGGCTTAAGGAAGGGAATGTGAGGCCCATGACAGGGTAACCGATGGGAAGAGGGACAGAGCAGTCCCTGGGCACGGCGCTCAGCGAACGCTCATGCACAACTGGAAAGGCCTTGGCAGATTGCCCAGCCCTGAGCTGAGCGGGGTCAGGTCAATGTCCTCAGGCTCCACCAGCGGATGCAGCGTGAAGTTCTGCAGAATGGAGGTGAGGTATAGGAAGAGCTCCATGCGCGCTAGAGACTCCCCCAGACACAGTCGGCGTCCTGTGTGGGTGGGAGGGCAGCGGTGAGGTGAGAGTGAGGAAAACAGGCGGGTTTGAAGAAGCCGCTTGGGGATATCACTGACACAGGAAGGTAAAGTTCTGGGGGAAGTGAAGCCGAGGTCCAGTGTGATCTGGCTACGGAACCCAGCTCTCAGCCACTGTCCCTTCCCAGAGGCAACTTCCCTGACCTCGTTCCTCATTTCCTCCTCCCAGGACTGAGCTCCCAGGATTCCCGCCTCCCTTCTCGCTTCCCCGCCCCCTCCCTCCTCCAGCGCTGCCAGCCTGGCAAGGTTGAGTTGAGAAAAACCAGAACCACCGCGCCACCTAGTGGAATGCCAGAAAATAACCATTCCTCAATTAATTGGTTTCCACTTCGGTGTTACAGGAAAAGGGAAATTGCTGTATGCCAAGCCACGGATGGAGCTAAGGACAGGATGGGCTAGATCGAGAGGGTTTGCAAAGCAATGTTAGAAACGCGGTTCAAAAGAGCGACTCCGTCTCTTACCAGCCGAGAATGGCATGAAGGCAGGGCTCTTCTTGAAGGACTGGTTGGCGTCCAGAAAATGCTCGGGGTTGAACTCCTGAGGCGTCTTGAACTGGTCGGAGTCATAGTGCACGGTGTTAAGAAGTGTGATGACATCTGTGCCCTGTGTGGGCGAGGAGACAGAGTCAGTGGTGTAGACTCGCTGGGGATTTTAAAAAAATGGATGCGTATGAGCGTTAGTTGGCGTGTAGGTGTGTGCACCGCGTGGGTGTGACAGCCAGCCAAGGAGGTCAGAAGAGGGCGGGCGGCTGGGCTCCTGGAGGAACTGGTGGGTGTGAGCTGCCGTGGGCGCTGGGGACCCAAGCTGGGCCCGCTGGAAGAGCAGCCAGTGCTCTTAACTGCCGAGCCGCCTCTCCATTCTGGAAGAGGGGTTGCTTGTTCCCCACGCTTAGGGTTCCGCCCTGCAGAGATGGAGCTCCCCAGGGGCTTGAGGGAGGCCAGGTGGGCAGACTCCATCTGGAAGCGGTCACGGGGGTCTGAGAGCGCACGGCGCCTCCCTTGGTCCCGAGCTTTGTGGAAGCAGAGGCAGGATCTCTGAGAGGGGATAGGGCTACACTGCGCGGGGGGGCAGGAGGTGTTCGGATGAATCCCAGACCCTGGTGATTCTGAAGAGGGGTCCAAGGAGGGGTCTTGAGATGCGGAAAGGGTTTGGAGTTCCAGTCCCTGCTGGTATGAGATGGGGTTCTGGGAAAGAACTCTGTTTTTAAGAATCTAAGATGGCCACGCCCTGGGTGGTGGCCTATGTTTGTGATGCCAGCACACTGCAAGTGGAGACGGGAGCAGCGGGAGCAGCAGGAGTTCGAGTCTATCCTCAGGCACATGAAGAGTTTGAGGGCTACAAGAGACTTCTGCGTCAAAAAACAAAACAATACAGAAGACCCCAAAGAACCAAAACAACAACAACAACCCCCAGAACAGGGCTGGAGGGATGACTCAGGTGTTGCGGGCACTGGCTGCTCTTGCAGAGGACCTGGGTTCGATTCCCAGATCCCACATTATGACTCCCAACCCTCTGCGACTCCAGTTCCAGAAGACACAACCCCTTCTCCTGGCTTCCTCCGGAACTGTGTGCACGTGGTGTAGAGACATACATATATTCAGGTAAAACAACCACCCATACACACAAAAAAAGGAAATTAAAAATTGAAAAAAATTGTTATAAACATTTCGGAAACAAGCAACTTCCCACCGCTGCACGTTTGCACTCTGAAAGCAGATTGCTGAGGTCAAGGGTACCCCTTAGCCAATTCCAAGAGCCTAGGAGACCTCTTCCTCGGTTAGCCCATGTCGTTTCAGGGGCCCAGCACACCTTGGGTATCAGGAAGCCACGGAAAGGCGTGTCCTGAATGACGCGGTGCGGCAGGTTCATGGGGATGACGTCCGCGAAGCGCTGGATTTCGTGGATCACCGCGTCCGTGTAAGGCATGGATGCGCGGTCCTCCAGTGTCGGCCTCCGAGAACGTCCCACCACGCGGTCGATCTCTTCCTGCACGCGGGCTGCAGGCGGGAGGGGAAGGGAGTGGAGGGTGGTTCGAGAGAGAGGCTGGAACCCGAACAGGTTTGTGAGCGTGAATGGGAAGAGTCAGAGCTTTCCTAGCTGCAGGCTGCGGCCTGTAATCGGTGCCTCCGGGACGCTGAGGCATTTGGTTGATGCGATGCTGGGAGAATGCTGGTTTCTGGGTTGGATTTGTGGAGTCGGCTTTCAGGGCTGCTTGGATCCCAGGACCCTCGTTTGGTTTCTGGAAGGACTTTGAGGCTCATGGACCCAGTTGGTCCATGAGGGCTGCGCGGGGAGGGCTCGGGAGGTACCCAGGGGGAGGCGCCTCGGGGAGAGGGAGGTGCCTCGGGGAGGGGGAGGCGTGGCCAGCTTGGATGAGAGGGTGTGTTAACGGAGAGCTCTCCTGGACCCTCTGGACGGGTGGGGCGGGAGGTGGGCGCAGAAGAAGGGCGGGGGAATGTAGGGCGGCCTCTGCTGCAGCTGTACCTTGCACTTTGGGGTACTTCATGAGAATAAGGAAGGCGTGGCGCATGGTGGTGCCCACGGTCTCCGTGCCACCGAACAGCAGGTTGTGTGTGGTCATCAGCAGGGTGTCCATTTGGAAGTGGCTCAGGGGGTCTTGCTTCTCCTGTGGGGGTCGAGGGGTGGAGCTATGGGCCCGGGCCTGCGGGAATCCTATACTTTGGCCTGTGTGGCCGCCGCTACCCTCTTGAGCTCACTGTTCGTGGGAGCCGGTAAGGCTGCCGGAGAGCAACTTGGCCAGCTGGCTTACGGATCTATTAATTGGCGGGGGCTCTGGGCAGCAGTCCAGCAGGGCCAGGAGCCACAAGGGTCCGGTTCTGCCCAGGCCGAGAACCCGACCGGTTTGAGGGCTTCGCGCCAGCCGCGAGGGAGGCTTTTCAGCTCACAGCTACCTGTGCCATCTTCGTGAGGAAGCAATCGATGAAGTCCCGGGGAGAGTTGGGGTCCAGGGAGTCCTGGTGCTCGCGGACGCTGCGGGCGATGAGCTCTTTCATGCCTCCAAAGTTCCGGAACATGCGTCTGTGCGGCCCAGGCAACCAGTCCAGGAGGCCCGGGAAGATGTTGTACATCTGTGGGCAAGACAAAGTGTGTGTGCGCGTGCGTGGTGCTTCGTGCAACAAGGTGTGGGCTTCGGGGCTGACGGACTAAGTAATGCAAGCTGGTGAAATAGACTCTGACCGGGTCTTGGCAGGGGCAGCCAGGTTCTTCAAGGGTGGAAAGAGTGGGCGGGAGGGGGCAGCAGCAGGAGGAGGAGGGGTGGCCTGCATCTGGGGGTGGGGCTATAAGGTAAGGAGTAGGGCAGGCCAGGCCAGCTACTTCCGCCCTGTTGCTTCTGCTTAGTTTCCTGAGACGCTGGCTGGAGGGCTCGCCCTGTTTAGGGTAGGCTGGTCAGGAATTGTGCTGATCCTCTACCTTGGGTTGCGGGCCCCCACCCCCACCTGGCTGACCTCGCCCCAGGGGCTGCTCATGATCTGGAAGTTGTCGTTGATAAAGCGGATGATGGTGAGCAGCCGTTCGTCGTCATAGTCGAAGCGGCTTCCGAAGAGGACGGAGCAGATTATGTTGGACACCGAGCGGCTCAGGATGAACACGGGGTCGAAGGGCTTGCCTGCGGTGGTCGGTTGAAGCGGGTCAGTGCCACGCTCTGCTAGCACATGTTCAACAGCTGGGCAAGAGTGCTGCCGGGGCGCCCATTCGCTCAGAGTCCGCCCTGCGGTCCAGGGTCGCTCACACGTGGCCACCCGCTGAGCATTTACATGCCAGCCACTCAGCATGTAATACGACGACATTGCCACACCAAAGCCAAACCAAAGTATTTGGCAATGTCACCCACAGCACAGAACTCACCATCTCCTACAGAACAAGAATGCTTGACACAAGCACGGCCTGTTCCTGGGTACCTTACATGCCCCAAACAGGAAGTACAGCCAGCAGAGTCGGGGGGGTGGGGGTGGGGAGCTGGCGCCTGCAGCCCCAGGTGAGGGGCTGAGGCAGGAGGATTGCTGCAAGTTTGAGGTCACCCTGGGCTAAAGGCTCAAAATTGTCTCAAAACCAGACGGCTGGGGACTTTTGGCTCAGGCAGACTACATCAGGCTGGTGAGGATTGCCTGTAACTCTGCCCCAAAGGATCTGACTTTCTCCTGGCCTCTGCAGGCACCTGCCCACACCTGGCACACATTCACACAAACACATACACACAGAAATAAGCACCCAGTTAAAAACAAAATAGACATTTGGTGGCAGTGTTTGACATCTGCAGTTTCAGCACCTGGGAGGTGGAGGCAGGAAGGAGGAGTTCCAGGTCACCCTCAGCTGTATAGTGAGTATGAGGCTACCCTGGGCTGTGACAGACATGGTCTCAACGAAAGAAACACAACAGAACGTCACAAACAGACAAACACAAAATATGCCAGCACCGTCAGCCCACAGGCAGCCCAAGACAAAGTCACAATGACGTCATCGCGCAGCGCCATCCTCCTGCCGCACAGCACACAACAGGCATTCACACGCTGCGACATCATAGGGCATGCGTGTAAGTCAACTCGGAGCACAGCAGACTGCATGGTGCAGAACCGCACACAATGCCTGAGGACAGCCCGACCCCAGGATAGACCACAGGCTGTCTAAGATCTAATCTTCCAAGAGCCAAACACACTATGGGACACACTAAAAGCAACAAATACCAGGTCTGGTGGTGCAGGTCTGTAATGCCAGTACTAGGGAGGCTGAGGCAGGAGGTTCACTGTGAGTTCCAGGCCAGCCTGGGCTACAGAGTTTCTGTTTTGAAAACAAGCACACAAACAAGCAGGCAAACAGAACCTCAGCGCAGGGGGATCCAGTGCACCTGGCTTCTTCAGGCACCTGCACTCGTATACATAAACCTCCTCCACACACAGAATTAGAAAGATCCTAAAAACCCCAAACATAGGTTTTGTAATAGGAAGATTATTCTGGATCACCTGGGTGGACCTCAGGAAGGGCCTTATGAAGAAGAGTTAGTGGGTGTAAAACAAAGTGTGTTGGCTGGGGTGGCGGGGCACGCCTGAAATCCCAGTGCTCAGGAGGCAGAGGCTGGAGGATCTCTGAGTTCAGGCCGGGCTGGTCTACAGAGCGAGTTCCAGGACAGTGAGGACTACACAGAGAAACCCTGTCTTGAAGAATTAAAAATGTGTTGATGGGAAAAAGGAGAAGGAGGAAGAAGAGGAAAGAGAGAGAGGGAGAGGGAAGGGAAGACTAGAAAGAGGAAGAGAGAGAGAGAGAGTCCCACTGATCCACTGTTTACTTCAGACCTATAGAAGATAATGAATCTGGCTGGGTGTAGTCTCTCACACCTGTAATCTAAGCACTTGGGAGACTGAGGCAGGAGAATTGCTATGAGTCTCAGGCCAGCCCGTGTTACAGAGTCACAATCTAGCTAAAACAAAAAGAATTTGTTATATTAAGCCTATACACTTGTGTCAATTAAAAAAATAAAATTGTATGTTTTTGGAGTGTGTGTGTGTGTGTGAGTGTGATGGGCATATCGCCAGGCATACCGATGAGCACCTTTGTCTGCTGAGTCAGCTCACCAGCCCCATGTGTGGTAATGCGTCAGAGCATTAGGAAACTAATATCAGTGGGACGGTTCCGCTGATATCACCTGTACTCCCTTCAGTATCACCTTATGAACTTTGCTCTCCGCAGTCAGTACGATTTGGAGAGCAGGGAAGAGGGGTGCTAGCCTGTTGCATTTTAGTTTCTTCTGTAAAATGGGGCAGATTATGAGACTCCATCGGTCTATGTAATTTTTTTTTTTTCTCCTTCAGGATCTTGCTGCGAAGTAAAGACTGGCCTTGAATTCATGATCCTCTTGTCCCAGCCTTCTGAGTGCTAATGAATTTACAAGAAGATGAGCATACCCAAGGATCTGGGAGCAGTAGGAAACTGATTTTGTTTGAACTTTGTAGTGTTGAGATGAAACTGAGGTCTATGCACACTAGGCAAGTACTTCACCCCTGTGCCATGACCATAGCCCCTCACTGGGGGATTGTAGGCAGAGGCTCTACCACTGAGCCACACCCCAGCCCCACACTGGGGGATTCTAGGCAGGGGCTCCACCACTGAGCCACACCCCAGCCCCTCACTGGGGGATTGTAGGCAGAGGCTCTACCACTGAGCCACACTCCAGTCCCTCACTGGGGGGATTCCAGGAAGGTGCTCTGCCTTCCTAATTATAAACTTATGGAAAATAAAATGGTCAAAACTAAAAAATACTTTTTATTATGTGTTTGTGTGTGTGTGTGTGTTTGTGTTTCTGTGTGTATGTGCACATGCATGTGGATGCCCATAGAAGCCAGAGGGGGCGTTGGATCCTCTGAAGCTGGACTTACAGGAGCTTGTAAACTACCATGTGGGTGCTGGAAACTGAATTCAAGTCCTCTGCAAGAGTAGCGGGTGCTCTTAATCACTGCGCCGTCTCTCCAGCCCATTTCCCCACGCCCCTGCCTTTATTTTATTTTATTTTATTTTGAGGCAGTTGTGTCATGTAACATAGGCTGCCTTCAGTCTCACTATTTAGCCAAGGATGATCTCAAACGCCTGTTCTCCAGCCTCCACCTCCTAAATTCTGGGATTACAGGTCCACACAACCACACCCAGCTCCAGCTGGTGGTGATCTGCCCCCCCCCCCAACATTTTAAATTAGATTTATTTGTTTTCTTTTGTGTGTGAGTGTTTGGCCTGAGTGTGTGTCTGTGCCCCCAAAGGCATGCTTGGTACCTGTGGAGGTTAGAAGGAGGCATTGCATTCCCTGGAATGGGAGTTACAGATGGTGAACCACTGTGTGGGCACTGGTCCTAACTGCTGAGCCACCTCTCCAGACCTGCGCTGAGTTTTTGAGAATGTCATCATCATTACCCCCTAGAAATACACAAGCTGGGCTCCGTCCGCTGCAGGGAGCACAGCAGCGCTGCGACCCTAAGGCAAGCCTCAGAGGCGCCCATGTCCGCCAACCCCCAGGAGGACATTCCCACCACGGGCACATTGAGAGGCCTCCAGGAGTTTCTGTTCACACCTAGGCTCTGGAGACCATAAGAAGGATGGACGCTGCTCTGGTGTATGGCCTGACCTTCCGTTTTCCGAAGCACCTCCAGCAGGAAGCTGCCTTCTTCCAGGATCCTCTCCTCGATGCTTCTTTTTCCCATCCCAAAGTTCCGAAGGATCTGGATGGAGAACCTCCGGAGGACCTTCCAGCGTTCTCCATTGGAGAAGGCGATGCCTAGGAAGAGGATGGCGAACAGCTGCCAACACATCTCGAATCACAGCCCCTGACCCCAGCCATCTCTTCTTGGTCTTCCAGGAGGAGGGTTCAGTTTAGAACCTCCCCCACCCCAGGTCTTCCAGAAAACCCTTCCTGACTCCCGGCACTGGGCCAGGCACCCCCTTTGGGTTCTGCATGACTCTAGGAATTCCTCACCGGATCAAGGTGCCTCCGTGTTCCCCTGTAAAGACCTGGTCACTTTGGGCTATCAGAAAGTCAGGATAAAGACCTTATTTCGTGTCACTGTGACCTTGCCATTGTACCAGAACTTGTTGATGATTGCTTGTTTTACTGAATGCACAAATAACAGAGATAAGCAAGAAAAATAAACACCAGCACTGGGAACTTGTCCCGGAACAGGCTGGGTCTCTGAAACTTTGCACAGCCCTTTATGGAAGTCGGTCCCTTCCTCCCTGACCTCCTTTGTCAACTTTTGGTGTTAGGATTGATTGAACCAAGGGCCACATAGACACACAGCAAGGACTCTATTGCTGAGCCACATCTCAAACTTTACTTTTCTTCTTGACAGTGTCTTTCTATGCAACCCTGGATGGCCTGGAACTCATTATGTAGACCAGGCTGGCCTTGCACTTGCAAAGATTCCTGTGATTCTCCCCACCAAATGCTGGGATTGCAAGTGTGTGCCACTATGTCTGACTCTTTATTTTTATTTTTACTTTATGATTATTATAAAATTGCTACATTTATTTGTTGGATGTGTGTATGCGTATGAGTACTCATGTGCCGTAAATGTGTGGAACCAGAAGAATAACTTACAGGAATCAGTTCTCTCTTCCTACACTGTGGGTTCCAGGGATTGAACTCAGGCAGTCAGGCTTGGCAGCAAGCTCCATTACCTTCTGAACCATGTCACTGGCCCCATACCTTATTGATACCAGCTGTCTTCCTCAATTACTCCCTATTGTTTTATTAAGGCAATGCCTCTAACTTGAGTCCAGGGCCTGCAAATCCAGCTGGGCTAGTTATCCAGTTCTGGAGATCCCTTGTCTTTGCCCTTCCTGTGCTGGAATTATAGGCAGCTGCCACGTCCATTTGGCTTCACATGAGTGCTGGGATCTGAACTCCCAAGCTTATGCTTCTGTGGCAAGTGCTTCATCTTCTGAGTCATGTCCCCGGATCCTGAACACTTTCACCCCGTCTTGACCTGATCTTTATCTTTCTGGTCTCAGTTAGGCTGGTCTCTGGGGCAGGAACTCCTCCCTGGCTGGGTTCCCGTAGCTCCCCAACCCAGTGTGATCATGCTGGGATGTCTCAGCTCAGTAAACTAGGAATCATGGGATTAAAGTCTTGGATTTCCTCCTCCTTCTCCTCTCCTCCTTCTTTCAGTTTTATGTGCATTGGTGTCTTGCCTGCACGAACGTCTATATGAAGGTGTTTATCCCCTGGGACTGGAGTTAAAGACAGTTTGAGCTGCCGTGTGGGTGCTGGGAATTGAACCTGGATCCTCTGGAAGAGCAGCCGGTGCTCTTAACCGCTGAGCCTCTCTCCAGCCTCAAGTCTTGAATTACTTAAAAAAAAAAAAAAAAGATGCTGGGTGAGGTGGAGCTGGCCTCTAATCCTAGCACGAGGGGAGGCAGAGTTTGAGGCCATCCTAGTCTACCAAGTGAGTCTAGGACAGTCAGGGCTACACAGAGAAACCTGTCTCAGAACAAAACAAAACAAAAACAAAACAAAAGAAAAAAAATTCATTTTGACATAGTAAAGAATTAGCTGTTGAAGAAGATGAAGGAGGAGGACATAGTCTTGGGTAAGGAGATGGCTCAGTGGGTAAGGTGCTTGCCATGAAACCATGAGGATCCAAGTTCTATCCCTGGCACCCATGTTTTGCTGGGTGTGACCATGACTGTTTTCCCAGTACAGGGGTGTGAAGACAGGTGGAGACAGACCCTGTCTCAAACAGCATGCAAACAAACAACCCCTCCCCCAATGAGCTGAGCTTTGAAAAGGGGAATATGGATGCAGGCCTGATAGAGACTGGGGCTGGGTTGAGGTAGATAGCAGAGACAAACATCAGTTTCTTGGCTACTTGAGTGAGTGGAAACTTGATGATGTGGTTGAGAGAGAGTAAGGTCTTGGGAGAGCACAGGGCTCGGCTGGAATGGACGTGGGGGTTGGCATGACTGCTCAGTTCAACGTGTGGGTGGAAGGTGGAGGTGAGGTGGGTCCCACCCTCCCTCAGGTTGCTTGTTTTCATCCTTCCCGAGGTCCTTAGTGAGAGCTGCAGCTCTGACTGTCCTCGAGATGACCTGAATTCCCTTCCTAAATATGCGGAAGTTTGCAGAGGATGGAGGCGGTGGCAGCACGCTTACCGTTGCCCTTGGTGAAGTTGAAAAAGACGGGGTATGAGCCCCGGCCACTGAACTCCTCCCCTTTGTCCACAAGAGCCTCCTTCACGGTTTGGTATCCACTGAGGACTACCACACGCCTGGGCCCCAGGTACACGGTGAACACTGACCCGTACTCCTTGCTCAGCTGGAGGTAGAAGAGAGTGTTTACTGGGGCCTGATGGGCATGGCAACCCTTCTCCTCCCCATCCCCCTTCACCAGAGCGAAGTCCCCTGCACCTTGGTGAGTGAGGTCAGCAAGTCTTGGGAGCGAAGTTGCAGAAGGTTTCCCAGGATGGGAAGAGGTTTGGGTCCTGGAGGCAGCTGGCTCTTGCCCCATGAACTGAAGGTCAGGGACAGAGAGATGACAGCTAGGAGGAGAAGCAAGATGGCGGTGCTTACGCCGTCCATAGTGAAGGCAGCTGCAGTGCCTGGGGGCAAAGTGTGGGAGAGAGAGTGGGTCCCTCTGCTCCAAACGTTCTGGAATTTTCCTTCCCTGGGCCCAGGCAATGGGACAGTGTAGAGAAGGAGAGACAGTGACATCAGAAGGCTAAGAGGGAGAGGAAGAGGAAGGAAGAAGGGGCAGAAGGAAGGGTGTGGGAGGATACAGACAGACTGCCAAAATGTGAACTCGAGAAAGGACTGGAAATGCAGGTAGGTACAGACAGCTGCAGGGACCCCAGAAACAGTAATGAAAACAGTAAGGAAACGTGAATCTATGTCCTTCCTGTTCATGTAGCTGTAATAGTAACCAGCTATTAACCCTCTATCTATTGACTGTCTTCCATCTATCATAACCTGTCTGATGCCTATCTGTCATCTATCTATCTATCTATCTATCTATCTATCTATCTATCTATCTATC